GAAAGAGAGCAAGAGTGCAACAACCACCTTAAGGGCATCCTGCGTGTCATCGAGGCAGTAGACCCGGATGCTGTACTCCAGCGAAGAGCAGGACAGCGGTCCAAAGATGGCCAGTTTGAGACGTTTGGCTGCTGCTTTGGTGATTGACTGTCCCACCAAGGCATACGTGCTGAGGGTTTCTGTCAGGATATGGCAGGCCTCTGGGTCCAGCTGGATATAGCATGGAGTGGTGAAGTTTTCCTCCCCGACCACCACCACATCCTAAGGGAGAAAGAGGCCAAGTTAGAGCTCCCGACCCCTCAGAGCTGCTCTCCTTTGAGACAGCAATGCCCCTTTCAAGCCTGGATGATGCACGAAGTCCTTGCTGTTTGCACCTCAGATTAATCAAGATTCAAAATTCCTGCTTCTGGCTTTTCTCCCATTTAGGCATGGGGAGGGGATGATTTCTCTGGGGTGCTGATGGTGATGATGGTGGTAGAAACTTCCTCCTGTCCTCACTCCCCTAAGACACGTAACTCTTTCCTCTGGGCCCTGCAGCAGCTTTTAAAGCCCTGGGCAGAGTTAGGCAAATAATGAAAATATCACCAATACTTTATTGAAAAAGATATTGCAGAACTAATCATTCGGTGACCACGATTTAACATCAGTAGTCACAGGCATGTTGAAGAAATAAGTGCTCTTCACTTCCTAAGTATGAAAATAAGGAGTTATAAAAACTCAAGGAAGGGAAGTAACCTCTACGATGGCCGAATGCCACATCTACATGAAATATCACCTGCTGCTTCATTGGAATAATCCTCCGTGACGAGACTGCAGGGTGAAAAAAAAAATACACACAGCCTGAATGCAGACAACCTCCCCATCCTGTGCGTAAAGGAAAACAGCTCCCCTGCTAATTTCTCCATTCAACCCTGCGTGTAATATCCTGCACGCAACACGAGGTGCTTTGAATGGCTTTGAGAAAGAGCAGAAACAAAAAGGCAGCAGTGGATGACGGCCGCCTCTTGCAAAGCCACCAAGCGCCACATGATGCTCAGCACAACTCATCGGTTTCATCCCCGCTGCCTGCAGGTCTGCAGCGCAACGTACACATCTGGCAGCTCTGCAGCGTGGGCTCAACTGAAATTTGTCATTAAGCTCAGGAAAGGCAAATGTGCCATGTTTGCAGGGGTGGTACAATCCTTCTGGAGGGCAAGGTGCTGCAGCGCTGATTGCATCCCCCCCCTCTGGCCACGCCAGCAACTGGCTCTGGCAGGAGGCACTGGCCCCAAGCAATGCTGTAAGGGTGTGCATGCATGCGCATGCGTGTGCACATGTCTGCATGCATGTGTGAAACTCAGCTTGGAGGAGCTGCTCCAGAATTGAGCGGAGGAAGAAGATCGCCGTGCGATGGCCAGGGATCCTGTGGATGCTGCGGAGGCTGCACTGGCACCAGAGCCTGTGCACGGCCGGCGGAGCAACCGCTCTGTCAAGGGCAGGAGGAGGACGGGGGAGAAAAATGAAGAGGTGCCAGTAACATACAGACACAAATAAGGAACATGTGCGGTGCCAAGAGTCAGGCTGGTGGGGTACAGATTAGTTGGCGAGACAGACCCGTGTTCGCTGCACACTCCCTCCCAATGTGAGGAACAGCCAGTGCCACAGGCAGGGGACAAAAGCAAGAGCCTTTAGGTGGCAATACCGGACACCACGCTCTTGCTGCTGTCAGCCCAACTGCCTTCAAATGCCACCCTGTCCTTATTAAACCTACCAGTAGGAAAAGATAGCCTTGCCAAATTAATTACATGAGACCAAACTGGTGGCAGCAGGTACCTAGGAGTACAGAGCCAGAGAGGAAGGCTCTGCCAGGATGGCCCAGCCTTGCTGAAAGCATCACTTTATGCTCCAGTTACAGTGGAAGATCCTTCTGCCACCCTGCCCCTGGGCATCCTCCTGCTGCACTACTGGCAAGGAACCACCCCAGGCTCCCACCAAGCCTGCACTGCCCAGCAACACTTGTGCAGCTCCCGAGTTAACAGGGTGCAGGGTTAGATCCTGGCCGCATGAACTGAATCAAAGTGATGCTCCACCAACACGTTAGGAGGGAAAAAGAAAAGAAAAGTAAGGCCTATAAATTTTATTAAGCTGGCTGATGTCTTGATGCTGAAGCAGGGGTTCATTTGCAGCATTTTTTTTTTCACTTTCTTGAAAACAAACTATAAACCAGGGGAGTTCAAACTACTCCATAAAAAATATTTTCTTATTTCTAGAATCGAGTCAGAAATTATTTTCAGCCATTATTTTTTATTTTGCCTTTTCTCTTCCTTCTCTCCCCATGGTTTCAGCACAATATCCTGCCACAACCAAAAGCTCAAGTATCATGCATGTCAGCAGCCATGCATCTCACACGGAAAACCTGAAATACAGGCATCCTTTAAAGGCAGCTGAAGGATTAGCAGAGAGCCCTGCACGCTGTCAGCACAGAGGCTGGAGCTCTGGAGCCTCACCTCCCACGGCCCCTGGGCAGCCTGGTGCTTCAGCTGGATCTGCCAGTCCTCCGTGTTCGGTTCTGCGCAGTGGTGCATGGTTAAAATGACGGGCCGGGTTAGCAGTGCTCCTGGTGGGCCGCAGCTCACCACCGGCGTCAGCAGGGTTTGGCTGTCTTCTACAGGTGGCCTGACAACGGGACAGAAAGATGCATATATTGAGTGAGTTGAAAAAGGCAAAAAGGTACATTCAGGTATGTAAAAATAAAAAAAAAATCCTTCCCTTAAAAAGATTGTGCAAGCAAAGAATGGGTGGATTTGGTTTGTTTGTTTTTTCTAAATACCAAAAATTTTTTTTTTTTTTTTTTTTGCCAAATATCACTCATTTGTCAAAATGCAGGTTTAGGTGGCATGAAATTATAGAGAACATTTGCTGAGCACCCCCAACTCTGAAGGATCCTTGCAGACCACATGCAGAGGCTTCATTTCACCCGCTATTGAAATGCAGTCACTGCTGCATTTGGGAGTTGTTTAGCAGCATACAAAAATAAGCAGTGGCTGTTGTAAGCACTGCATGTGAGAATTAGTTACTGTCTGGACAGAGAAAATTGAACAAAGGAAGAGAATGAACATGAGCATGTCTGAAACCTCATGAGTGGCATATGGCACATCTCAGATGTGCAGTTTGGGTTCAGAGCCATCACCAAACCCACTGATACTCCATTTTACTTAAAAGGCATTCAGGTCTACTAGAATGGCTTGTGCAAATATGCCTGCAGGGAGCAGGTGTCACTGGCAGCGGGGGGCGAAAGGGCAAAGGGATGGTAAGGAATAGTGCAGAGGGCAAAACACACTTGCAAAGCCTGAGATTTCTAGCCATAAACAAGAGCTGTTCAGTTAAAAACATGGGTATTGTCCAGTGCACTTTCAGCCAGTCACTAGGAATGAGTGGTATCGGAAATCATATAAATATATAGGATACACTGCATACACTGTAGTTTGTAAACAAGTGTGTGTGTGTGTGTGCGCGCGCGCATGCGTGTGCATGTGTAAACTATCCCAGACCAACTGCTGAGGAGCTTAAAATCAGAGGAAGCATGAGTGACTTTAACTATCCCGACATCTGGTGTATGACAAATACAGCTGAATGTGCCTCATCAACTGCCTCCCTAAATAATACAGAGGACAAATTCATGATCCAGAAACCAGCAAGCAAGAGATTAAAAGTGTTTGATGTGATCTGCGCTTAAACTCCAGATCTGCCCACAGGACCTCCCATCTTCTGCTCTGGCTAAGGGTTCAATCCCTTGTTGCATTTACAAATACTGCAATTTACATCTGTATTGGTCTTAGTGGAATTAGTTGAGACAACATTAAATACCGTTTATTTCTGCAAGTCTTTGCCTTTACCAAAAGAAAGAGCAAAAAAAGCAGCTGTAATCTTAGATAACATTTTCAAGGAGGCTAAATCAGGACAGAAGCTGTTTTGGCATCCAATTTATTGTACCTATTCTGGCTACATCTGCAGACATATCCTAATATTGCCCACCTTAATTCTCCCTGAATAATCCATTAATCCCACAGAAAATGAAAGACAAACTTTTGAGAAATCCTTTTTCAAAGTGGGACAAAGGCACTTTTGAAAAGTGTCTCGTTGCTACAAACGTTGTGGGAGGTTTTTATAACATTTGAGGAAAAAAGGTCCGGCATAGAAATATTTAGATCTATGCAAATCAGTAAATCCAGATGATATGCATCTGTGGAAATTAACTGATGAGTTTACTAAATGACTTAACAATTGTTTCTGAAAAGCCATGGACTGGAAATAAACAGCTGCGATAGCTGCCTTTCAAAAAAGGTGTAAAATATAACAATCTGGACGGCTATCATGTATTATGCCAGTTATTTTAGCCTAACCAACAGCACACAAAAGAAATTAAACACTAGCAGATAGAGTACCTAGTCCAGCTCCTTTTGCATGCTGTAGGCATCTCTGGATTCAGATTAAGAAGATCAGGGATCACTCTCTTGCAAGACTGAACTGAATAAATCATTGGGCAGTTTTTTGACTAAAATGTTGCTTCTTTTTCAGACTCATTTACTTCAGTATTTTTTCACAAGAAGCAACAAGCAGCTTAAAAAACACTCACCGTGTGGTGGTGGCTTTTAATGGTCATCTACCATTAATGGGTATTTGAACACTCTCCGACAGTCTACTTCAAGAAATTTCAAAAAAACATAATGTCTTATGAGAAGATCTTTCAAAATTACAATATTTGTCTGGAAAGCTACAGATATGACAAGCTATAGACTTAATCATCTGGTTAACCTAACTTCATCTAAAAGACTATTGACCCATGAAGAAGGAAGGATAAAAAATACACATTATCATAATTTTTTGGACTGAATTACAAAACCAGCAGTCAAAAAGAATATAGGAGGGAATATATCATGATTGCCATAAAAAAAAAATCATACAGTGTCTTTTAGGTGAAAAATGAGTTAAAACCGACAAGAAGCTGAGCACTGATGCATGCAGTTAAAAAAAGCCAAAAGGTCATAAAATAATATGGTACTGATAAATCATACAGCCTAAAGTTGTCTCAAAGTAAAATTAAGTTTAGTCACTGCTCCGTGACAAAATTTTGTTAGCTGTTAAATTTTAGGACTCTGATGGAAGGCATGATTCTGCGCTGCAACATTTTATATCCGATTAGCACAAGCATAAAAAACGATGCAGAACACGAAGTCGGGAGGTGCTCCAGACCGCACAGTCAGCAAGTGAGATAGAAAGCGGATACAAGCATACAAAGCCCATGCAAAAACCAGAAAGGCTTAGTGTTTTTTCCCCAAGTTGGTAAACAGCATCTTTGTCACCAGACTTAGGTGATTTATTGCCCAGCGGATGAGATACGCATGCTCCTGACCTGGGTGTTTATGATACAGGACACACTGAGGAGTGAAGAGCAGAAAAATGGGCCAACTGCGAGGGTGGTTGACTTTGCAGTCCCCAGTTGCCAACCAGGCACGCATCTGAGTCCGGCACGACAAAGTTATGGAACACTGCTGGTCCCAATGACCCTCCTCCACCACCCACCTCATGCAGATACTGACCCACCTCAGCTCTCCACCAATTTGGGGACTGTAAGTGACCTAACTACTTTAAGCCTTTAAAAACTGAGATTTAATGAGTTGTTGCAGAGAAGTTCTCGAGTGGTGTGAAGCAGGGGTCAGTGTCACTGAAGAGGTGAAATCCCAGCTCTGTTAAAGTCAATGCTAAACCTCTCCCTGACTACTGTGAGGCGAGGATTTCTACTTACAATGTGGAAGGCAATATAAATAGTAACACAATCAGTAAATTTACAGATAACAGTAAATAAGGAATTATTGCAAGTAACAACAAGAGCCAGAAAACAATGCAAAAGATCCAGAGAAGGTAAAAATATCGGTAGGAAATAAAATCCTATTAATTGTATAGCAGCTCACGCTTCCACAGCAAAACAAGTTCCAAACACAGTTCTTCAGTAGCAAATAAAAGCAATGAAAGTGAAAAAGATCTCGGTGAGCCTACTGCAACATAGCAGGCGTCAACTTGTAATGTGACACAGTGGCAAAAAGCAAATCTGAATTCTGGGGCTGTATGGAACAAGGCATGTCAGAGCACACTGAGGTGATATTCCCTTTCCTATCCAGCTCTAATGTGACTGCAGGTAGCAGGTTGTTTAGGGACCACAGTGAGATCTCAGAAATAAACACCTGAAGCCCAGAGGAATGAGGCTAATCCACGCAACGGCACACAGAGCAGAGAGGTACCCTATGACAACTGACAGGAAAAAGGAACAAAGATCTCTTGACAGATCTTTTCTTATTTCTCACTGTTTCTAATTTCCATTTTAAAACAAAGGGATTATGCCTTACTATAGCTAATGAGAACAGAAACAGATGCAGTAGACAAGATATATTATACAAGAGATATTAATCTTTCTGCTTCAAGGCATAAACCCAACACTAATTGATGGGATTAGTAAACAACAAATTCCCCTGAAGACAGGTTATTGTATAGTCATTCATTACGAGCAATTTTCTACCTTCTCCGGGAGCAGGTGATGCAGCACCAGCAAAGCCAGGATCCTGGCCTAGACAAGTGCCTGTTGTAATCAAGTATTGCGATTTCTGTGTTATAGATCGCAGGAGATCCAGCACAAACATATAAAGCAAGGGAGTTACATCCTCTAAAGCAGAAAAATCTTTGAGCAGACATCTTCAAAACTGTGGGCCAGAACCTACTTTTAGGCTGTTATGCAAAAAAGAACCCCAAACCCAAACTCCAAAAAATCCCATCCACATGTGCTTCACTTTAGGCTTGCAGCAGTCTTGGGACGACTTACTAGATGAGACTGGGCATTCAGCTGTGCTAGTATGACTCCGAAGCCACTTCACTGCAGGCGAAAGGGATGGTTTTGTTTTACAAAGATCTGGCTGAGACTAAAATTCAATCCCCTGTTTAGCATTGACATTAAAAGGCACTAACAGTAACAAAGGTCTTCAGATATTTTTAGATGTCGTCCCATCCCGCACTGCTTATCAAGAACAGTCACTTTTTATTTAAAAGCAAACAAGCTTTTATTCACTGTATCTGGTCCCTTCACAATCAAATTTGTGTTTTTAATGGGATTACTCATTTGAAACCATCTCCCTGTAATAAGCCAGACCATATTCATTAAGGTAGCTGTCAGACAGCAGATGTGAACACAACTAGAGAAATCTCTGCTCCTCAGTGAGCCTACATTGTGCTCCCTGCCATCGTGCATAGATGTTACAGGCACTCACAGTAGCTCAGGAAGCACACGACGGAGCAGGGAGAGAGGAATGGCTACCTCATAGCAACAGATGGCAACCCTTCTACACAGCTTAGCCAAAAGTCAGAGGGAAGACATTTTATTTCTCCTTTCATTGCTAGGGCTTTATTTTTAATATGTGTTCCTTCTTAAGTTTCCAACTTAATATTCTTGACTGACCCTGGTTCTTCTGCTAGTCTATATTTAGAAGGAAAATTATCAGAAAAATTTTCCTCCCCTTTTGCTCACACTCTGGTCTTTTTTATTTTGAATTTTTCAATTAAGATGACTGGCACTTCATGAAATTGTCTTCTGGAGTTGCAAAGTAATTTTGTTTATGCAACTGAAATACAGAAGGAAGGTGGAGAAACGAGACGTGGAAGACTTCAATTTCTTTTATTTCACAACACTAAGCTTCACTGGTGAAAAAGGCACATTGCTGCCTGGATCAAACTCACTGATCAGCTGCATGACTTTAATATAAAGTCTATACATATACTGTGAAGCCACTGATGCAAATCCTGGCAAGGCTCACCTGACTATTCTCTCTTTTAAGGTAGCTAATTTGGAAGTTGCACAATTTACGTGTGTCTTCCATCAAGATCTTCAGGAGCACTGCTTGCTCCGTTCTTCAGGGTTGTCACATTTTGTGGGCAGGGTGACATCCACTCTCATTTGCATCATCTCCTGTGTGATGGATTATACAGGAGCGTCCTTCACTGTGCCATATTTAGTGCAGTTCTTGCCTCTGATTAGAGTATGCACAAGTAGCTCCACCTAAAGCTGTGCAAGCTCAGCAGGGGTTCACACGGGAACACGGGAACTGCCATACAAGATCAAACCAGTGGTCCATCAAGGCCCAGACCCCGTCTAGCACTCACCAGTGCCAGATGTTTCCAAAGGAAGCACACAGCTCCACTAATTTAGCTCACAGCTAAATTTGTTTTTTAACCCAAGGCAGTCAAGAAAATCCTGAAGGCTGGAGGTTTATACCCATGCTGTTTAATCCTTAATCGTGTAAGATCTAGCCTCTCACAGATGCTCATGGGAACAGGCTCTTACAGGTACTGGTCACAACACTGTGTTTATTTTATAGGTGAAACCATAGTTCAAGAAGCCATCCCTCCTTGCAAATCTCAAAGTCAGTGATATTTCTCCAGGCTAAGGGAGAGAGCGTCTGATCACCATTGAAAAAGCCAATGAGCTTCAAGACAGAAACCTGCAGTTAGTTGTAAAATATTCTCATAGGCTTGTCATTTTTTCAGTTATATATATCTATATACACACACACACACGTATGTGTACAAACACACAAACACATACATATACATAGATATCTATTTCCCCATTGTAGCTACTTCATAAAGCACATGGGCCGTTCCACAAGGTCAACATGAATCTCTCACGCCAGCCAGGGATCAGAGCCCAGTAGCTGCTTGCCATCCATCCTGCCCTGAATGACAGGCAGAAGGGGGATGAGCTTGCAGTGCAGGAGCAGGAAAACAAGCCTGCTGGAGTATCAGTCTAGGGAATTTTTTTAAAGAGAAAATCCACTGTGCCACAAGCACGCTAACACACTTAGAGAAAACAACCGCCTCCAAGTGGCGTTTATTGCAAGCCATCAGAACGCTGATTCACTGCAGAAGGATAATGCTTTTAGGGTGACCCTCCTGCTCTCACATGCTGTGATGGATATGAAATGGAATAAATAGAGTGTCTCCGAAAGCTCTCCTAACCAACCTGCAAGGCAAAACAAAGAGTGATATTACTGGGTTATGAAGTCTCTCAAATGTCTGTACTACAGGTTTCAGAGACTACCTGGGGAAATGTATTAGGAAAACAAAGGAAGGAAAAGAAAAGAGGAATTTTCAGGACTCTGAGGGATAACAGATTTCCTGTTTCGGCTTGACTGTTCAGAAGTCGTTTCATATTTCTACAAACAAAGTGTGAGCTAAATCTTAAGTTGCTGGAGATACGTGAGCTGTGATGGTACGCCTCTCTGTTGCTGCACTGGTTCTATTTAGGGTAGCACTACGGGGACCACATTCTCGCTTCAGTGGTGGTTGTATATCAAGAAAAAGAGCCTGCCTTCATTTCTGATTATAACACCCATTTTATAGTTTCCTGTACGTCCCCTTCCAAACTACATCAACACACAGCAGGACTTTTCAACCCATACACATTTACACAGTGCACATGAAAAAAATATAGGGTCTCGCAGGGTTTATTGAACACACTCCAGTTACCGCTTGGCCACAAAAGCAAATGTCTGCAGCTAGTCCTTACTGTGGACTATCACTCTCTGCTGGAGTGCTGTAAAAGTGCAGCAGCAGATTTAGAAAATTATGCTGCACACTAACTTGTGGTACCCATATGACTCCAATTATATGAAGCAACATCTGTGGCCCATGCAGTCAGAAGAAGAGGCTTTGACCAAGCTGCAGCTCTGCTACAGAAAGTGAAGTGTCTGGTAACACAGCCCTACAGCAGGAGACCATTACAGCTGGGTGCTGGGTGCCACCCACCCCTTTCTGCTCCTGGGCACCTGGGGAAAGGGAGCAGGTAACAGAGGAGGACATTACCGTCCTGCAGTGTTTAAGCCCTTTTAGGTGACTATTTGGTTCCGAGTGATCTAGACAACACAAGCTCCATTTTAAACATCCTAGAAGTGGTTGGTTTCCATGAGCATGAAGGGCCTGGCATGCTGAAGGGGGGCTGAAAAGCTGCCACAAATCAAATAAGCAGCTGGGGTCTGCGTGCCCAGGAAGCAATTCCCAGCACGATGGGAAGAGCCCTGCTACCCTGATGGCCAAGGCAGCCCGCTCTCTACTCTCCTCTCCTCAGGAAAGAAATCACTTCTCAAAGTCTTCATTGCAAGTCAGGATTCACACCTTTCCGTTCACTTCTGCAGGCGTACTTCAGCACTCTTGCTCAGTTTGGCAGAGCACAGCTCCAAGCATGCTTTTCCCAATACAGGTTAACCTATCCTTCTATCCCGTGTGTGAACTGCTGAGTAACAGCTGTCACAAAACACGCAGAGGAGGCATATGACCTTCGAAGAACATAAATCAGACCAGCATGTGACATTGGCTGTCCACAGCTGCATGAATAAGGAGGCAGGGATACCCCCCATGACTAGCTGGAAAGAAAATAATTGCACATATAGCTTCTCTTAGGAATGAAATAAATTTTTTTGAAGAATTAGATATTTTAAAAAGGGAGATTTGGAGGCAAGCTGAATAACAGAGGATGCCCTCTGGTTTTAACTTTTTTTCCTTCTGCGGGAAAGTCTCTTTTCAATGCTGTTTATAAATGTCTTTAAAACACAGCCAAAAGTAATAGGAATACAATCAATACTAGATATGAACAGAGACACTTTTTCTGTAGCTGCAATTAGCTATTTTCAAAGAGCAGGCGATGAATAATGTATGCAAAAGGATGGGTGGAGGGGTTACTTATTTTTTCTTTAAGCAGATTATTTTAGCATGGGTGAAAGACTACCCAGCTAAAGAATAGTGTTCAATATCACGCAGTGTATAAACAGCTGTGGCTTAGCACATAATAAAAGCCATTAAGGGGCTGAGCCAAAAAATGTATCTAGCTATGAGGAGGGGAAAGAGGCAAAGTACCGTGTAATGATTGCTTAGATTCACATTTGCCATTCAGCCTTTGTGCACGAGTCCATTCTGCAGACTAAGATCTCACCTTTCTCTTCATTAGGTTTTCCTAAACTGCTTCAAACAGTATCTTGGCATGTTCAGAAACTGTTTTTTTTATGCCAAGGCTGCCCAATCACTCAGTAGACATTAAGATCTAGAATATGAATTGGCCACACATGCAGATAACAGGTGAGGACAACAGGGGTTATCCCAGCATTGGCTCTGGGTGGCCCTCAGCGTGCTGTGCCTGGGGCTAAGCAGGACAACTACTTGCTTGCTTCTACCTTGGAGCAAGGAGGGGTGAAGGACACCAAAAGCTTTGGCTCCATCTTCTTCACTGCATGGACCAGCCAAGCCCATGAAGGGTAAAATAAAAATTCACCTTCATTGTAACAGGAAAGGAGATTTTCTAAGCCAGGTGCTCAGGCACCTGTCGCTCTGCTGAGCCGGTTTGTCACCTTGCTCCTCCACTTCCTTCTCCTTTGCAGCACGGGTCTTTATTAAGAGATTACCTCACACCTTCTCTGCCGCATCAAACTCACGCTGGTGTGTTTGTCTCACTTTTGGCTATGATTCAGCATCCCCCCACCTTGAGGGCTTGCTGCAGAATGCAACTGTTGGTTAAGAAAGCAAAAGTCTGAGCTGGTTTTGTGGCAAAGTTTATCCTTGGCTTTGCTCGCATTTAGCTCCAAGTCAGCAAATAGCTTCAATGCAGTTGACTTTGCATAAGCATATTACCACAGGTCTTTAGTTACTATATTTTCCCCCTCTGTTAATGCACAAGCAAATAAAGGCAGTCTTTTACCTCATGTTCTCCTTCCTGTGAACTGTCACATACATTTCATAGACTCTCCCTTGTGGAACGGCCCCCGCTGGGATCAGCAAGCTTACTCCTGCAGGACAGAAGAGACACAAAAGATAAAACGGAGAAAAAAGAGGCAAGTGAGCCTGTGAAGAAGAATGACAAGAGACACAGAAGATGAAGCCTGTGATGCCAGATTTTAACCCAACCTCGCCAGCAGACTCTAAATGACCTCAGCAACTCGGGAGAAAAAGTATTTACTGCAAACCTGGCATCTCCAGCAATCAGCTGGTCTGTTCTTATTCCTCTTGTGCGTCGGCAGCGAAATAGGGGAGTGCAGAAGAGGATTTTCTTCCCTTCCACTTTATTTTATTTAAAGAGCAGACAGATGGTTACACTGCTGCTTACCTTGTAAAATGATGGAAAAATGAACAACTCTGACTAGAACTTCCAACAGCTGTAACGGGACATCTCTCCCTAGGCAACTCTTAATTAAAATCAGGAAAGAAAGGCAGTGCAGCACTGTCCCAGGAAGCAACGAGAACTAGTTGTTTTCTGAAAGATGGCTTCTGCAACTGGCATCCTGTCTTTTAATGCACTCAGCTTCTAATTAGACTACCAGGGAGACAAAATTGGCCTTCCTGGTATTTTGAATGTGCCTAGTCCTGTAGAGTGGCTCAAAATTCGGGTATCCAACTTTGAAAAATGTCATGTGCGCAAATACGCTCTGTGCTCTTTTCAGTGATGATTAGCTGCACACTTGATTACAAAGCACTGTTCTTATATTACTGCAATTTCAGAAACGTTGGCAAGTGACTGCCCGGAAAACAGAGGGTCCTGTCGTTGCACGACAAACATGGCACACGAACCAGCTATTTCACTCTGCTGGACATGTCTCAGCCAGCCGTCTTTGCACATGTGGATTAGCTGGGAATCAGTGGCAAGGCTTTTAATACAGTTATTACTGAAAACAAACCTACAGGCAGATTATTTACATATTTACATATGCACAAGAGAGGCTTTATAGAAACTTTGCATGGCCCTGTCTCTCCTCTTCAGCATACATGGGTTGGTTATGCTTGTGCCCTCCCATGTGTTGGTGTACAGGGGCTCAGTCCCATACCTGGCTTTGAAGGGAAGGGATTAGCTAGGAGAGCATTTTCCACAAATGCCTTCTGACATTTGTTTCTTTACAGGCCTGTTACAACCTCACCTGTGCACGTTCTCAGCTGTAACAGGGCAGGCGTAGCGCAAATGAAGGGTTTTGATCATATCACTAGGAGGCTATACATACATCTTGAAGCAGCATCAAGGCATACATGGTAGCGGTAGACAGACTGATATATTTTGCAAAACTTATTTTAATAATTTTGAAGGGATTACAGCAATAAATAACCATATTTTTCTTTACAAATTGATATTAACATATGTGAATTAAATGTGACTAACAGACTTTGCTGACAACATGCACCACCATGGCATAAAGAAACCTGAGTATTAATATCTGCCTTCAGCTGCTACTTAGAGAAATGTGAAATCCAGGACTGTACAGCATGAATTTTCAACACTGCTCAGCAGTCAGCACCAGATTCCCTTAAGTAGTTCAGCTTTCACTCATTTGATAGCTATTTTTGCCCCCTGTTCCACAGTTCAGAGAGGAGGGCTACTGCTCACCAACCACTTTTGGCTGCTTCCTGGGCAGCGTGGGGCTGAGTCCTGGAAGGACCAAACCACCTAGGTCCCAGGCCACCTAGGCATTTTGCTTTCTCCATAACATCAACAAACAGGATAAGATGCAGCAAAGGAGCAAGAGACAAGGGTAGGTGCTATCTCCTCAGTCAGGGCACTGTGCTGTAAAATGGCCAAGAGCTGACCACCAGATGTAAAGGAAGAAGGCAGAAAAGCTGTGAGACCTTGAGCTATCTCATCAGGGAGTTGTGGTCTCACATGTACTGTGGTCCTACCTGGACTCAGAGCTCCAGAGAAACTGGGCAGGGGGACTCCTGACCACCGTACAGCCTGCATATCCCCCACATCCAGTGTTTTATGCATTTGATTCAACTCCACTTCAGATGTTAGTGTTGCTCTTCATTAGCACGCCAAACCCATAAGAACGTCTAGGTGCTGAACTTCCTTTGAACATCAACACTTCATGTAGGAACCAAACAGCAGTATGGCCCTCTTCTTAAAAAAATGTGGTCGTGAGAGCCGAGCTCTCCCAAGGCTGCCCAGGAGATCCCTGGATACTCTGAAACTGCCTCCCGGTGCCTGCGCGGCTTGATGGGGGCCCGGCAGCCTGGCCTCGTACCGTATGAGAAAGACTGAGCAGCACTTTGCAATTACATCAAAAGGCACTCACTGCTCGGTCCCCCTCTTTCCTCATTGTAAAACAAGTCAACAGTATGGATAACAAGGAGAGAAATATAGGAAAGAGACTCTTGGGCCTTATTTTCCTTGGGTATGTAATGTGTGCAGGAAACAAGCCTTCCAAAAATTAGTATTCTGCTGTCCTACTTCAATACCACACAGTCTGCAATGAATTGGAAGTGGAACAACTGATTTGTTTTTTTAATTAATTTGTCCTTTTTATGTGTGATGACAAGACTGAGGCTTTCTGACTTGGAGTCCCTTTTCTAAAGCTGCATGAAAGGAAAAGGTCAAGGATGCTGAATATCACTTCACACAGGGAAGCTCTGAAGCCTTGCATGTCTCAGAAAGTGGCTAAGAGCGCTTGCAATATTCTGTTAAAAAGACGGCCAGGATTTTGGAAAAAGAATTCTTGAAGTACCTTGGTAGATCTGAACGGGAAGAAAAAAACCACCTGTTTGTTCCGGACAGAGAAAAGGCAGAGTCCCAGGAGCTAACTCCACTTAAAAACACAAAACAACTGAGCCTTTAAGCCAACATGGCTAGCACTTACCTGAATTGGGAATTACTAGGTGACCTCCTAAAGAGTTGAAGGTCCCAAATGCAGTGCACGATGGGTCTGTTTGACGAGCAAGGCTCTGGTTTTTCATATTCAGGGTCTCGTTCTCCAGCAGAGACTGTGTAATCTGTGGGGACAGCTTGGAGGAGAAGTCAGAGAGGTCATCCTGGGGAGTGACTGCGCCAGAGGTGTTGTAAACCTTGATTTTCAGGTTGGGCAGTGGGTCCAGGATTGGAGAATTGGTCATTGGGATTTTATCAGAGACGTCATGCAACGCATAAACAGGACCCCTGTACATGGCTGCAGCAGAAGTGAGGTCTGGTGGTACCGCCAGGAGGTCTGCGTTGGAGATGAGAAGAACCGTATTACTTCTCTATTCTGATGACTTCAATTAATGATTAAGTAATGATTCAGGTTTGCATTCTGCATTTTGCATTTCATATCAAAGGTTAAGATACACAAAGTCCTTGCAGTCTGACCTTGGTTTCCTTTTCCATGTGTCTCTCCAGCAAACTCCCAGGGCTTGTATTGCCCCAGCCGCTATGGAATCTAATTGACATACAGAATTACAGCATGTTTCTGCTCTAAGGATTTTTCATTGAGATTTTTTTCCCAGGCTGCACTCAGATTTCAAGTATGACGTGCTTAGCTTCAGGGCAAGATATTTTCCCTACTCAGGAGATCTAGTTTTATTAACTAATAGCCCCTCCCTAAATGCTAAGTGAGAATCATTAACCAATTTATCTAATTGGCCTAACAATAGCATTCCTGAAATAAAGACAGAACATTGTGCCCATGACTCCCTACAGTAGAGGATTAGTACCTGCATCACACTTTTTGGAGATTTGTTTTAAAAGTATCCCCAGCAAGGGAAGTGACACTTCTCCTAATTCTTCACATGACAACTCTCTTGTCATCTTAACTCTTACTTTGATTTATTTTTTTTGCACACATTTTGGGGAAAAAAGAGGAACTCTACAGCCTAAATATGGGTCTTGAAAAAGCCAGCGCTAACTTTAGAGTGTGTTTTTCTGGCCAATGAAGTCTGGAAATAATCAGGTTGTTATGCACCAGTGATAAAAATGCTCATTATTAAATGATGTTCTACTGCAACTTCTGCATTGTCTATTGAAAGTACAGTACTTCTTAAACTCCTATTTATGCCTGTGGAGACAGGGCACAGTAAAAAAAGGCTATTAGTGAAACAAAGAGGAGGAAGATGTGATAGAATTACTGTAGTGTAATATCACTCCTGTGATGAATCCTGCCTCCGTTGTTTCTGTCAGAGCTTTGCCTTTGATTTAAATTTGAGTGGACCTGTATTTCCATAAATGTCTCTGTGTTTCACTCTCGCATTCACACTCTCTTCAGAAGTTAAATTTCTCTGCTTTATGCTCTTGAGCACATCTGAAAAACGCCAACGTGGGTTTTGAGCACTTGACCATCAGAAACAAATGGATATAATCTTTCTCCCTTTTATGAAGTGCCAACAAGCATCCAGCGAATATCATTCATGCAGCCCAAGAGACCATAACATTATAGCATCTCCCTGAATTGGTCAACATGGAGTGAAATGACAACTAACCTTGCCTTGCAGCCTTGATGTTAACAGGCTGAAATCCCCCATTTAGCGCCGAGGAGTCGATAATATCTGACTCAAAGTCACGGTGGTTCTTGCGATAGACAAACAGGGCCACAACCACGGAAATAGCCAGGCACACGATCACGGCTATGACGATCCCAACGTAGAGAGCAACATCATCTGAGTCAGGAGCAGCTAGAGGGAGAGAGGCCAGGAACCTTGAAGAAATGTGCTCCTCACAGGGACTTTCAAGAAAACACATTCTTATTATTCTCGTTTCCTGCATTTACTACCTTTTTTATAGGTTAATTTAAAATCCATTTCCAAAGCCATATAACAGGTCTATGCCCTTTTGATGGAAAATTATCTTTGATTTCTCTCTAACTTGTGTTCTAACTCTTTCCTTATCTATCTGTGCATCTATCTGGTACCCAGGCTGTGAAGTACTAAGCATAACACACGTTACAGACTCAGTCTCATGAAGTAAATTCACCCTATGAAATAAAATAGTATGTCTTAGTGACATAGTGTCATAATATTGGTATTTAGTGGTTCATCTGATATAACAAAAAAAATGTGGGTTTTTAAACTTCAGAAGCCTTATTTTTTAATCAAAAAAAAGGTCAAACCCCCCAAAAAGTCCATTTTCTATGGAATACCTGGAATATCAGGATGTATCTTTGAGTTTGCTTTTTTTGAACTATAATGTGTGAAGCCATTTTTATTTCCATCCATTTCCCTTTAAAAAAAATAATCTAGTAAAGCAGAGAATCAAACACTGAATTCTCATCACTGGCATTAACACATCTGTATTTGGATAAAAGCCGAAGCAAGCACAAGAAATAATGTGGCAATTTATGAAAAGGAACCCAGATTTATTAGAGCTGTCTTGTGAGAAAATGGCTATGATATTTCTACTAGCTGCTTATACCCTGTCTTCAGTACTAATTCCAGGCTAATCTCTAGCATCATTATCCACTAGACATTTTTTTCCAAAAGGTCTGAATATATGACCAAAATTTAATGTGTTTCTGTACAGTGAAGAATCCCAGTTTTAGAGATAGCGTAATGAAAAAAGAAAGTGCAAACACAAATCAGACTTCTTTAGTACCCCATTTTTGCATGTGAATTATTTTTTATTTTTTTGCTCCCTGCCTTCAAGCCATTTAAGCCAGGCTCCCCTCCAGGGCAGAGGTGAGAGCTGGCAGATGTTGAAAGGGACTGATCAACCTCTGTAAGCTCGTAACTATAAGACCTTCAATGTACCAGCCTTGAAACACCACATTTTTTTCCCTCAGCAGTTCAGGAAGCAGATCTCCAAGTTCCAGCTCAAAGAAAAGTTACCCCTCCACCACATTTCTTCTGTTTGCTACGGAAATTTTAATGAGAAGAGGGTTCATTCTCTCCAGTTTGTGTCTCTGAGGCAGCATCTTCTCCCATTTTCCTCGTGCATAAGGGCTGTTATCATTTTGTGTCAACCTGCTGACAGCGAAACACTGTGACTGCTGTCAAGCCAGCAGCATGCTGCTTACTCTGCTCAACAGGTCCCTCTTTGCCTAGTCACACAGAGCTGGCACAACAGTAAAGCTTGACCCAAGGAACAGCATCAAATTAGCACCCAGGAACATAAAATCAAACGTTAAACTTACAAGGAAATCCATATTCATTCTGGGTTCTCTGTTCAGTTGAAATAGGATAAATGAAACCTTAAAAAGAAAGAAATTAAACAAAAATGGGAACAAAATCAAATTAACGAGGAGAACAAAAAAGGGAAGCATGAAAAATGGTTTAATTAAAAAAAGAAGGAAAAGAAACTGATGGCACTTTAAAATTCTGATACAGCACAGAATTATGATTTTGCATCCTCTGTCTCCTCCAGAGCCTTACTAAGAATTAATAAGCAGGCAGATTGAATTTCTAAGCCAAAATCGGTCTCGAGTCACTAACTTTGGAGTGCTTAAAGTCTTTCTTTTATTGAGCATAAACTCTAATGGTTCTAATTTATTTCAGACATCAAGGGTCATTAGCATATGGAAAGTCTTTTTTTCCCTATCCCTGCCATATGCTTTAATTCCCAGGACATGTTCGGTGAGGCTCTAAACAGTTTTTTTATTTAATTATAGTAGCTTGCTGTTGATCTAATAGAGCTAAAGGAGACCTGTCGTCACTGGTCAGAGGTTAAATACCCATTCGCTGAGCAGAGTCCATGCACAAAGCCCTTTCTCTGTATTTCCTTGGAATTATTTTATCCTGTCTTTAATATATGTTCAATAGGAATTCCTCAGGGAGCAAAGAATTTGTCAGCAAACGGGAAACTGAGTGGCTTCTCTTCGAAATTATTACAAAATCAATAAGGCCCCTGGGGTCATAAAATTATTTATTTGAAACCTTTGCAAGCACCGTATATCGACAAAATCATAACACAATTTACAGCTGTATTTCGGAACGGATAAATAAGAGAGATCATTTCCTTTGTCTTTTCTTTCTGCAGCTCCTACAGCACTGCACGCTGGAGCTGCTTAGTTCGCACACGAGTCCTGTGAACTCGCTAAGCACCTCCCAGCTGCTTTCCGTCCATACTGGAAACGAGTGAAACGCTCCAAGTCCCATCCTGCTGGAAAGGTAAATGACAAATCCGAAGTAAGCGGGGAAGTCGCTGTCAGGGACAGGATTAGAGCTGGTGTAAGACAGAAAGTACCTCTCCTCCATCACCTTCCCTTCAGTGCTTCTGATGGGAATTTCACCCCTTCCCCTTGGATTGCACTGCGAGGAGCTCGCACAGCCGGGCACTCCCTGCAGGTGAAACGAAACTGGAAAATACACTCCTGGCACGTGCCTAATGCGCAGGACCACATTACAGGCAGAACGGAGTAATAATCCCCAGCTCCCAGAAAGGCTGAGTTTGGGTGCTTGGCATGTGTCGTGCTTTACATAGCTCTTCCTGCTTGGCTGCACTGCTTGCTAATGAAGATATAGTCTATCCCAACTGCAGGTATAGACATACCTCCCCCTGAAGTTTCCAGACATTAACTATCGCATAAATGTTACCTTAACTGAAATACCAGATGTATTGGGTTTGCGTGGCAAGGTTTTGGCAGTGGGGGGGGGGGCTACAGGGGTGGCTTCTGTGAGAAGCTGCTAGAAGCTTCCCCCATGTCCGACAGAGCCAATGCCAGCCGGCTCCAAGACAGACCTGCTGCTGGCCAAGGCTGAGCCCATCAGTGATGGTGGTAGCACCTCTGGGATAACATATTTAAGAAGGGGGAAAAGAAAAAAACGAAACAAAACTGCACAACAGCAATTTCAGCTGGAGAGAGGAGTGAGAATATGTGAGAGGAACAACTCCGCAGACACCAAGGTCAGTGAAGAAGGAGGGGGAGGAGGAGGTGCTCCAGGCGCCAGAGCAGAGATTCCCCTGCAGCCCATGGTGAAGACCATGGTGAGGCAGGCTGTCCCCCTGCAGCCCATGGAGGTTAACGCTGGAGCAGATATCCACCTGCAGCCCACAGAGGACCCCATGCCGGAGCAGGAGGATGCCCGAAGGAGGCTGTGGCCCTGTGGGAAGCCGATGCTGGAGCAGACTCGTG